ATCTATCTATCTATCTATCTATCTATCTATCTATCTATCTATCTATCTATCTATCTATCTATCAATCATCTGTTTATCTATCTATCTGTCATCTGTCTGCCATATTTGTATGGCTACTCATCTCAGATGAGCATAAATTTCAACATTCCCTAATACATATCTTAAAACAATGGTTACACACACACACACACACACACACACACACACACACACACACACACCCTCTAATTCTGGACATTTATTAAACTGACCCAGCTTGTGAAAATGGCAGCAATTCCCCCACTGTGAGGTATTAAATAAACCCCAAACTTCATCCAATATGTTGTTGCTAATACCTGTCGGCTTGATTAGAGAGGGTGAGGATAGCCTTGGCAGCATTGCTCCCAGTCATCAGGCTGCCTCCCCGAAAATCAAAAGCTCTTCCCTTACTGCTTTCTTTGACGAGATCCTGAATGGATACTGGTTGGATGACAGGATTGTTCCTCAGGGCTGCCTCTTGCTCCAGAATCAGTTCCTGGGGAAAGTCTGTAGCCTGTACTTCACCCTGAAGTGCCACTGCCCCCTGTTGGGCTTGGGTGATAGTTACAGGTGGCTGAGAAGTGCCATCACTGAAATGGGCATGCTCCAGAGTGCTGATGTATTCACATACTCTGAAAATAAAAATAGGAAAGTGAAACATAGCATGGATGGTTCTGCTAGTTTATTCGTTGCAAATCTTATTGGTTATAGCAAACATTTATCCTTTAAAGGTCGTCCTCAATTATTTCAAGAATACAAACAACCAAGGTGTCAGGTTTGACATATGTCAAATTCGGACTCTACACAAGGTACCACTGTAGGGACCAATTCAACTAGTAAATCTGTAAGCACAAGAAGCATATTTGCTAATTGCAAATTAAAATGATAACCGGAGCTACAATCAGTACATCTTCATTAATAATACTCTGCTAGTCACAGCAGCTCTAGTCAGATGGTTAAATAAAGAGAATTAAACAAAATTTAACTGGGCTGATGGATTTTTACACTTAAACTCATTTGCGTAAGAATGCCTTACATGGAGAGAAAGAGAGAAATGCTTACCTATCTACCCAGTTAGATAGATAAATAAGTGGGGGAACCTCTTAATAATCTTTCAAGAACCAATCTTTGGATAATTTTGTAAGGACAAATATCAAATACTGTATAAAATGTGTGACAGATAATAATTTTGTAGCTTAGTACTGGCTAAACAATGTTAATGAATTCTGAAGTATAACTTTAAAGTTAAGGGGTTTTTGGTTTTTATTTTGAATTCTTTTTTTTTTTTTAATTAAAAACAAGTTTTATTTTTCAAGACAAACAATACATAAATACAGATAAACACAAAACATAAAAATATAAAAAATCTCTTTTCTGAAAGTTGCTTAATCCCGGGTTAAAACTCTTGGTACAGACACAAATTCAATTTCATATTCATTTTACATACCATTTCATATCTTCTTAACATTTTCAATTTTCTATATAACTTCTCCTCTCCTTTAAATTTTCTCAAATTTTTTTTTATCTCCTCTCAATTCATATCGTAATATTTATTATTCTTTGTCTGTTCTATTCCAGCCAATCATTTATTTTTCTTCTTTTTAAAAAAAAGTACTTCTCCTATACACTATATGGAGTATGATGCCTTCATCTTTTTCCCCTATATTTATAGTACTTAATATAAAATACATAACATACATTGGGATTCTGTCTGGTACATTCTAAAATTATACTATATTATCAAAAATAATACAAATCTATTCATTAATATTGATATTCATTCATATCTTAGATGTTTAACTCATTACTTTTCAATTAAATCACATGCTTTTATGAGAGCCCTATTTTTCAAAATTTTTGAATTCTTAAAAGGCAAAGTGTATAAGAGGAATGTAATCGAAGGCAAGGGAGAATCACAATTCATATATTAAATTTATAAGTGGAAAACACAGAAGCAAAATAAAGATGAGAACTTTTTTCCACTCCTTCTCCTGCCTTGTCTTCTTTGATTCTACTACATTCCTGGAAACATGCACATTTCTGGTTCTTGTTATCAAAGAACTGTCCCTACCCAAATATTTCAGCTATCATATAGCACAATGATCAATGATCACACTTTCAGGGGAAATATAACCCATGGGATTTCAAAAATTAAGCTCATCTAACTAGTGAGATTAAAAAAAACAGTTGATCAGAGATAACTTGAGAGAGGATCTTGTGAAAAAAGAGAAAGGGATCATTGTACAGGGGTCGGCCTTAGCTTCAAGGCCAATTGTTTCTGCCTAGATTGTCACAATGTTAGGAAAAAAGGGGGGGGGGAAGTTGCTCATTCAGGGGTGGGCTCAAAAGGTCACATGAGAAACTGGGACTGTTTGTGGACCGTTGTCCTAAACCCTGCCAATTCCCCCCCTCCCCCGGAGACACTGCCATGGATCTGACAGGGACAGCTGAAGGACTATGAAATGCCCAGGTCTATGCTAGTGAATGATACAGCATTAATACTGCAGGCTTCTGAGGTGATAAACACAAATCATATTCACCTTTCCTCTCCTGTTCCAAAACTACCAGAAAATTATGCTGCCCTAAATATTACTGCCTCCAGTAATGTTACTGCACTCTTATTTGCAATTGGGATACATACAGCTTTAAAAACACAATATTCTGAGGCCCATGATTGACGGTTTCTCAGCTGAAATTCTAGTCCTATCCAACATCATCCACCATGTGAAAACCTTCCTCCTATTTGCTATACATAATACCCTGGTTACTTCATATATTGCATTTCTCCCTTTTCTTATCATTTAGCGATTGACTTCAAACAAAAACAAAACTCCTTAAAATTATGAAACACTGTTTCACTTCTTGAGCACTAGGTGACAGCAAAGAACATTGAGTTTATGTCTATTGTAGCTGCCATCTTGTGGTCATCTGGGTACGTGCAGCTGTCTGATAAGTGAAGTTTAAGGATTGGAATTAGACAAAGTGGTTGGCAAGTACCTGAAGAACTCTTAAAATCTTTATGTGAGATGAGAATCAAGACTTCTGGGGAACAACAGCTATAGGAAAGGGAATTCAGAAATTGCAAATATGTAGCATAAAACCTGCAAATGCGGAAATGCATAGAGCAAAATATGCAATCACAATGTTGTGTTCCTCCTTAATTATTACAAAACCTTCTACAAAACTCTTTTTTAAAAAAAATAAAGGGACAGATAATATTTTGTGTTTTTAAAGGAATAATTATGGCAAAGCAGCTGGTAATAACTTAAGCAATCTGCAAGGTGTCAAGTTCATTTTGGAGAAAGCTGTCTGCAAGCGCTCCACATCACAGTCTGAATTGGCTCAACCAAAGAGTTTCCTTACCTAAACACGTGAGGCCAACAGTCTGGGTTGTGGCTTCCCATCTCCAATCCCACAGCAAGAACAGCATCCATGCATAAAACATGAGCGGTGTGGAGGCAGACACCTTGCGCCTTCCCCATCTGTTCCAGTTTTTGCTCCACTTTCTGTTTTACTGTATCATTACATATTCATACAGAAAAGAATATCTTTTAAAAGCCCATCGAGTTTCAGTGCAATATGTAAATACCCCTGAGCCTTTTTATATCTTTCCAGCAAATTAAAGCAGAAATGGTCTGAGACGGGGCCAGATTGGGTGGGGTTAAAAATGTCAATTTCTTAATTTTGCTGTGGTGGATTGGAGGGATTTAACATGTGGAGAGTATGAAAGCACTACTTCCCCCCTCTCAATCAAGCTATTTTTTCCTCTCCTTTGCAAGTGAAGAGTCAAAATTAGCGCCATTAGGTGCTGGGATGTTTAAGGAAAATTATTTTGCCCATTCCAGTGTCATTACAATATCATTTGTTATGTCACCCAAGCTCCCAGACAGAAGAGAAAGAAGTTCCCAGTTTTAAAAAATCCTACATTAAAGCATTGAGAGGAGAGGAAAGAAACAGTCACCCCGGCACTGTTCCTAACCTTCAAATATCTAGTAGAAAGAGTAAAGAAAAAGTTGAATGCAGACAGTTTAGATGGGCAATTTTTCTGATTGCCAGCAGGCCGTATATGAGTGCAAGTATATGGACCAAAAAACAAATTGAACTCACAGGTTGGGCAGAATCAGGAGGTTAAAACCCATTTCCCCTTCTGTATATTTGTGTCCATTACAAAGAGGTAAAACGGGCCTGAAAACAACAGCGGATAGGAAATAATCTCACACTCATATACCACCAGCTATAGTTTCTTACTTTATTTATGGGATTCTTGGTTGCAACTCCAGTCAAACCTTATTGAGAATAAAATAAAAGTCTCCCTTGGGTCCTGTTCCACTCATGGTTATTACTTTGCTACATTCATATTATTTTCTTGACAATGTACAGAAGTGGCTTGCCATCATCTACTTTGGAAATCTTTTTTTCCCCCCAGCAGAGTCAAATTTAATAGTCTGAGATTATCTCCCATCAAGTATGAATCAAGTATACCCCGCTAAGCTTTTTCAAGATTGGAAAAGTCAACCGCCAAGTCACCGACTTAAAAATACTGTGCCATAATAAAATCTTTTTCTAAAATGACTGTATATATAAAATGTCTATTCCTGTTTTATGCAGTGAGATTCTGCTTATTTTGAATCTGTAAAAGATTTTCTTTCTTTGCTTAAAGAAAGCATACTTGATCTTGCAGAAAATACAGTGGGGGGGGGGGGAAGGAGCAATATGGAGATCATGAATATCTGACTGAGGGCCACCGAACATCTGAGGAGTCATACCTTGAGCAATGGCATCACTGGGCTCTTGGGCATCTCTTTCCTCTTTCTCCTCTTGAACACACGAGGCGGCTGCCATCTGAGCAAGGGCTGACGCACAATTAGCAGCAACACCTACGATCAGGAGGAAAACATCTGATGAAGTATAGCTCAATCCAGGAGCCGCTAACTGTACACTTGCTAAATATCTGGTATCTCAGAAGGAGAAAGGTCACATAGCTTATTGCTCTCCTTTGTTGAAGCTCCCTTATTGGATACTGAAAGAGTGCACAGATTTATCTAAACATGACAACTTTGCCAATGAATACAAGTCTACCTAAAGCACAACTGAGCCGAGCTGCCTTCCTTAGCCCGTCTAGACTCATGCAGATGGCATCCTTCTCCTTTTGGTTCTGCTCCTTGATGCCTTCAGCCCCAAGAATGAACGCTAATCCTTTGGAGCTGCCTGCCATGCGGCCAGTCAGAGGGGTTGATAAGGTGTCGATCAAATTCTTCCAGCAACCAATTAGAAGGTATCGGGCGAAAGCAACTCCTGAAGCAAAGGAAAATGAAAGGCAGTCTTAGGAATTATTCTAACTATGCTAAATATTTAATCAGAAGTTATATCTAGGGAGGGGAGGGGAACCGTAATTTCCTCCCATCATGATCCTGATGGAAATTCTCTCCATCATATTGACATTAGCCCAGAAAAATAGCTTCCACAGACGCTTATGGGATCATATATCCCTCTAAAGCGAATAGAAGGGCAGAGAGGAGATTCTCATATAAGACAAAGACAAGGTGAGGGCAAGGTTAAGAAAGAAAGAGAAAGAAAATGAAAAATTATTTCAAAGGCTGTGAATTATTCCAAAATTAAGCACTCATTTTTTCCCCACAATGTACATTTGAATGAACCATAACATTGATGATATCCGTGAAATGCCCCAATTGGGGGGAAAAACAACAACCCATAATTCATTGTGACAGGTAAAAGCTGGAACCAGACTTTAAATGAGATCTGTATCACACAGGCAGATCTAGAAGACACCGAAAAAAGAAACATTTCCCTTTCAATCAATAACTAAATCTTTAGCCTAAAATATGACGCTGATATATGACAGGTGAGCCATGCTGCCCACTGTGCACATCCCTTCACCTGCCATCAATGTATCATCTGGTTTCCAGGTCTGGGATAGAGGAGATTGTTTGGAAGCCGAAGCCATCAGCTGCCCGCCTATTGCACTGCTTCCGAAGCCATCGATGTCTGCAAAGGGAAACATCTGGATAAATCACCTGCAATGTATCACTCTTGTTCTTTCTTTCAATTCAGCGGCAGTGGCAACGGAATGGATATCAATTTGAAATAATTAAGTCTAATAAGCTCACTCCCCAATCATTTTAAAAGGATGTAGCATTAGATGGAAATAAATAACATTTATTTCTAACGTATTAAACACTGGCATAAACGGAAATTTTTGTTCGTGTTAGTACACATGCTTGTTTTTATGTAGTAGTCAAAGGGGAACCAACCCGTCAGCATAGTGATGAGTGGGAGGCTATGCTCTTCAGGATTTCCCCAATAACCAGCTTCCCCGAGAAGATTTCTCTCCAATACTTGATGGTAAAGTTCTTCAACCCAGGCCTGAGAAAACACCATCAATACTCCACTGGATTGGACCTGTTTCATGAATTCTTTCTGCAGAACGAAAGAGCGTTCGTTTAGTTAGTAAGGTACGGCTAGACGTATTGTTTCTTTCTTCAGGAATTTTACATATACAGATGTGACATACAGCACCCAACAGAAATAAAAAGTATTGCTATGTTTACAAAGGGAGCCTCAGCATCTCTCCCTCCCCTTCTCTCTCCATTTTGAGGCAATATCAAATTGAGCACTCTTGAGTCTTAGGTTTGCATGCTCCTCTCTTTCATTTTCTCTCACTGAATTGTTATTTCTTTTTCTTTAGGTTTCTTAGCAATTTAGTGTTTGGCTGAACTCAAGGCACTATGAACTGGTATAGCAAAAAAAGGGATAGCCTTAATGTCTCTTTCCCTCGGTTTGAATCAGGAGGAAAAGGTTGCATTCATTTTAAATTTTGGATTTGTTGTCTGATTAATGCTTTTCAAAAGGGTTTTTTTTTTAAAAAAAAATCTAAACCCTAAATCACTGAAACAGAGGAAACAGAAACCTTAATCTCTACGATATTTCATGCATGCCTCTCTTTCAAATCCATGCAGCTATGTTCTGTGTTTCAGTAACTGATCTCTGATACAGCGACTGTGATTATTCTGTTCATGAGCCAAAGAAAGGTTAAATCTTATCATTGAACTGGAGACTGGTAGAACGGGATGTGGCCAAGTGCAACATGTTCATCACTGTAGGGGTCAACAAAGGCTTTGACCTCACCAGTAATACAGCAGACTGGGCTGGTTTCTTCTGATAGTATTCTGCGTTTGACAGCTTCAGGTTGAGCAGGAATATGTAGTGACAGACCGCATAGAGGCTATCTGCATTCATCAGGTTCTGGAAGTGAAGGCTGACACTCCCTTCAATTCCTGAAGAATGCATCATGCCTAATCAATACAGACAAATGGGAATTATGCACAAGAACCAAGTTTCAGTCATTTTTAATTCATTAAAAATAATAACTTACACCAGGGGTGTCAAACTCGATTTCATTGAGGGTCGCATCAGGGTTGTGTTTGACCTCGGAGGGGGAGCATGGCCGGGGGGGGGGCACGGCCAACATGTCACTCGTGTCGGAGGGTGCCTGTGGTGGCCCAAGCTCTCTGCCAGTGAAAACGGTATCCCGAGCTCCTTTTTGGGTTGTGATGGTTTCCCGCAAACCCCTGCCAGCAAAAACAGAGCTTGGGAGGGCCACGCACGACCCTCCTGAGCTCCATTTTCACTGGCAGAGGCATGTGGGCCAGTTCTTTGCTTTTTCCAGAGCTGCCACATAGGCCACATAGACCACGGGCTGGATCTGGCCCAGAGGTGGTATTCAGCAGGTTCTGATCAGTTCTGGAGAACCGGTAGCAGAAATTTTGAGTAGTTCAGAGAACCAGCAAATACCACCTCTGACTGGAGATTTTACACTATCCTTCCCCTGCCAAGCCCACCAAGCCACGCCCACAGAACCGGTAGTAAAAAAAATTGAATCCCACCACTGATCTGGCCCCTGGGCCTTGAGTTTGACACCCCTGACTTACATTGTTGAAACCTCCTAGAAAAGAATAATGCTGCTGTAGCTGGAGTAATGCTACAGTGCTGAATTGGGTAACTTTGGGTTAATGATGCTTTTCTGCATAACTTCAGATAGGGCCCCATTTCTCTCAAGCACATACATCAACCCCCCCATTACCACTGGAATCGCTGTTCAATTTTGAAGAAGCTCTAAATATCAATATGATAAAGAAAATCAAAATAAATATTTGTACTGACTTCGCATACTACCTATAGATAAAGATTTGTACCATAATATGGCTGAACCAGATTTTCTTATGCAAATAAATAAGTATTCAATTGACTTTTTTTAGGACAATAAAAACACTGGAATAACATCTCATCCATAGATCTTTCCTTTAAAAAAAAGTCCAGAAGGAGTCACATATTCCTTTCGTTAAAACAGAATGTGATACACACACACACATGCAAACATATGGAGAAACAGGTAGGTTGGTAGATAGGCAGGTAAGTCAACAGATAGGTATAGACAGACAGAAAGACGGGCGATAGAGATGTTCTAATACAATAATTGGACATTAATGGGAAAGTAAGTGAGTAGCTTACAAACCTGAACAAAAAGTTGAAGAAAAGTTCTGGAGAGCCAAATCCACCTCTTCTACTGTAGCAAGAGTGATAAGACGAGGAAGGAGTGTTTCAAGAGCCTCGATAAACAATCTGGCACTTTGCTGATCTGCTTCCTGGTTCTTAAGTAGCTTCAAGGAAAGGGCGGCAGTTCGTAAAGACTTGTGACCTGGACAATCTCGTGGCGTCTGTTCTTCATCAGCTAAAGAACAGTTATCTGAACCTATATCCGACACATCTGACCTTCCAGAGTCTTTTTCTGCTGCCATAGAATATTGGTCACATGAATCAAATTCGGTTCTGGAAAAATCCTGGTCTTCAACACTGAAATTACTCTCGCTGTATCTAGATCCACAGGAACGGGCCTTGCAATCAACAGAAAGGAAATTGGTTATATCTGGATAGACAACAATATGGCTCCGTTGAACTACATCCGGTTGGTCAATTGTTTCTGATTCTGGCTCTTTATAATGAATTTCTTTGCCTGCTTGTCCAGCTGGGGATTGCAAAGAATTTTTACGGATGTCAGAATTTGGTGTCGTCTGTCCCATATCTCCTTCTAGGGTTGTCTGACCAGTATCTGTGGTAACACTAATACTGATGTCAGGACTCTTTTCATGGCCTGGCTCCCAAGGGGCATGTTCTGATGACAGGATACGTCTTTGCCACCTAAAATCAGCATCATTGATCTCCATGGAATCTCTACTGGTCTCAGCCCCCTCTTTTAACTCGTCCAGCCGTCGGAGAAGCAGATGCACTTGCTCTTGATCCAGGCCCTTTCCTTGACTTAACTCATCCAGAGTTCCAAGCAGGGCACAGGCACAGGATACTGAGGCATAGCAGGCTTCAATGCCACCTTTTATGCAGGCTTCAGTCATCCCATCCAAGATTCTACAATGTGAAGGAAGATAAGACACTCTTCACCCTTATGCCTCCTAAGTCAATTATGCAACGGATAAAGAATTTATACTGTAAAAAAGAGGGGTGGTTTCATCTCTTTGGTAATGAGCAAGCAGTTGATTAACTAGATCCATGTGATTAATCTAGAAAGGGTGCAGAGAAGAGCAACAATGATGATTAGGGGACTGGAGGCTAAAACATATAAAGAACGGTTGCTGGAACTGGATAATCAAGGAGAGAAGCAACTTAGAACGAAGGAGAACTTTCCTGAGAGCTAGAACAATTAATGAGTGGAACAACTTGCCTCCAGAAGTTGTAAATGCTCCAACATTGGAAGTTTTTAAGAAGAGATTGGATAACCATTTGTCGGGTTGGACTAGAAGACCTCCAAGGTCCCTTCCAACTCTTCTGTTCTGTTCTGTTCTGTCCTGTCCTATTCTATTCTATTTTACAAAGGCATCATCTGATAAAACAATTTCTTGCCTTTGATTGTATTCCAGTCATTTGGAACCAAAGGTCTTCAGTTCTGAACTGAAGAAGTTTCTTGGATGAGAAGCAAAACATATTCAAGGAAAAACAAAGAAAGTCTAGTTGTATTTTAAAAAGCAATTTTGGGACAACCATGACCTGGATGACTGAGAATCTCCATAGACATTTTGCTCATTTTATAATTATTTAACAGATTTTTAGCCTTTTAGGTCAGCACACTCAGTTGAAGAAGAAGACTCCTAATCAGAATTATGGAATGCCTATTGAATTAAATACTGTCAAAGAAGAAGAAAATATTTGTTTCAAGCAATACAGTTATCAAATATTGTAAAACAATTGGGGTACATACAGTTTAAGAAGGTCCAGGTGGGATTTTCTTTTTGAAATGGATCTCTTTCTTGATTCTGGTTCTGTGGAACAGGGACCTGCTAAATCACAAAGCCGCCGAGGACTTCCAAGTATCTAAATGTAATGCAATTTAGCAGAATGCAATAAATATATTTTTAAAGTCACTTTGAGATGGGCAGCATATAAATTTAATAAAGAAATAAACTCTTTCCAGTTGATCTTGAAATCACTTGTTAAAATTTATTCACATATTCATGCAAAGAAGAACATTATTACTGATTGTGTAATAACTGTTTCTTTTATCACAGGATTATTGTTATTATTGAAGACAAACACATAGGACAAGATAAACTTCTAAGACAAAAACCCAGTGCTTTGGTAAGCACTGCTTACGAAAACAACTAGACACAAATATAGTTTTCTCCTCATGCCGTCATTCTGTTAAAACACCAAATTCCTACAGCACTGTGCCTAAAGATATTTACTCATGTAGTAGGGCTTTATGCTTAAAGATATTTACTCATATAGTAGGGCTGTATTGCTTTTATCCTTCTCATCTTCCCTACCTTCACCTATTAGTATCTTATGATTTATCATTTGCTGTTTGTATCTTATGATTTATCATTGTATTTTATGATTTATGATCTATGACTTATCATTCTGTTGTTTGTATGTATATTGAGACCTTATGCACCAGAGACAAATTTTATCAACCAAGTGTCCACTCACACTTGGTCGATAAAGAATATTCCAATATTCCAAACAATTTGTAACTTGTAGTTTAATCACAATTTAAATTGACAAATTAAAAACAACAACCAGGGAGTATAAATTCACCTCTTTCATGATCTTGATAGCTTCTACTCTGTGCTGTGGTGGAGGATACAGAAGCATCCGATGGTAGAGAGATTGCAGAACAGGCTTCATGGACTCCACTGAGCCCACCAACCGAACAAGCTCCGCTGCGATGTAGTAGATAGTCCGTGCAACAGGACTACTAAGGGCAGGGGCAGTTGTAGAGCAGCCTGATCCTCGGCCGTGGTCAGACACTCCGGAAGAAGGAGAATCAGCTTCATGACCAGTGCTGCTATGAGCAGATGTGATTGTTTTGTCATGAACCGGATTGCCCAAGATTACTATCAGGGCTGGACATAGCTGCTTCCTGAGGAAAAAATAAATTAAAGTGATAGTGTGGGAGAAGTAGTGAAGGATACTGTACCTGAAGAGATTGTTAAAATAGTTTTGTTATGATGAAAAAGTACACTTCTATAGAAAAAAATGAATAAAAATAAATGAAACACAGAATGTTTCACTTAGAAACAGAATTAAGGCTTTGATGTTTAGCCCACCAACCCTTCACCCCTCTTCATCCATGTATCTAAATTTGCAGTGGTTTTTGACTGGTTTTTGTCCCTATTTCATAATCATACACTTTAGCAAATGCTGGGACTAGGAGAAAAAAAAGATTATAGGTAGTCCTTGAGTTATGGAGCCTGCCCATCAGGGTTGCATGTCAGGACAGCTGTTAAGCAAAATGGCCTCCCTTAATGACCCTACCTCTTGATGCAAACATTAAGTGAATTCAAATGTTTATTAAATGGAGCACCTGGTGCCTCAGAGATAGGGGAGGCCTTTGGAGGCCTACACAGGTCCAGGGTCACCTGCCCAGTCTCCCAAGGCTACTCCTACTCCTTGAGCTCTGCTTCTTGCTCCTCAAAATTCCCATAGTCCTTCAGCCTCCTTTCCACCCAGCAAACTAGGGAGATCAAGCTATCTGAAACTTGCAAGCCTCCAGCTGCCTTCCCACCCAGCAAGCAAGGGGAGATCAGACCAGCAGAAGTTTCCAAACTCCAGTGTGTAAAGTGAGATCAGGCCGGGAACTAAAACGACAAATTTACCTTTCATCTACTTATATTCAAATAACTTGTTCAATATCCATGAGTTATTTTGAGATCTTCTTGAATAACTTTTCTGCTGTTTACTCTATTTCTTCTTGGATGCTTCCAACTCATTCTACAGCTCCGTGGAAATGGAAATGACATTCTCTGTAGGCATAGTAATATTTACTTTGTCCAGATGATACCCCATCTTCTTTAAAAGCAATATTCTAATGCAAATTTTCATCCATTTTCTGAACCCCTTGTGGGATTCATTTTCTTCAGCATACGAGCATTAAAGAAAGCTACCAGCCACAGATGACAGACATATGATTCTCAGGTAAGAAACAGCTGCATTAAAGAGTTGCAGATAAGTGCTACATGAGCTTTGCCTGATGTCCTTGCCTACTCCAGAGAGCTATAAAGCCCCAGGTTGTAGCACTGAAGTACTGGAGAAGGACCGATCCCAGTTCAAATCTTTTCTTGACCAAAAGACTGACTGGGGGATTATGGACTAGTTATTCTTTGTTAACTCAACATACCTCACATGGTATGGGTGGGCTTCAAAAATTTTACCAAAGGGTTCTCTGCCCAGTTGCTGGATGGGTGTGCCATGATGGGCATGGCCTTGTCGGCCTCCTGCACCACAGCGGGGAGGGTGGGTGGGGGGTTGTTGTCCTCTCTGGGCTTCGGAGGCTTTCCTTGAGTCTCTGGGAGGGCGAAAACTCTCCCCGGGCTCAGGAGGCTCTCTGGAAACTGGAAACAGGCCCATTTCTGGCCTCCCTGAACTTCCGGGAGGTCTGTTTTTCATCCTCCCCGAGCCTCAGTGCACGCCCGCACTTACCTGCATCCAAAATGGGCTGTGTGGGGACTCCTGGGAGGCAGGGGGGGGGCAGCCAGAAGTAGGATTTGGGGGATCTCTGAACTGCACACAATCTTACCTAGAGGGTCTCCCAAACCTCTGAGAACTCCCAGTAGCCCACCCCTAGTTATAGGGGTAAATTGAGATGCCCATATATGCCCTCTTGAACTCAGTGAGGAAAAACAAGAAGATATCAATGCAATTGTTCACTCCATTTAATTTGCATGCTCTCTAATAACTCTCTCCTAGTTAAGAGAAAGAGGTTTTTTAATGAAGTCCCCCACCCACACTGTGAAAGGCACAAGCTCATTCATGAAATCCAACTTTAGTATAAGATCCCAGCTTTCTCTGCTTCAGTTTCAATGGGGAGAGAAAAATTTTTCTGGATGGTATTCTTGTGGCTTCTGATGTGCAGCACAAAAGACCGTAAGAGTGCTGGTCACGAAGCAATTTCAGACTCGGGTAGATTGAATTCCCTAAGTATTTCTCCCCCCACCCCCTTTTAATGTAAACAGATATTACTTCTGCTCAAATATACAGGCCAAATAAGATTTCTACAAGGCGGAAACTTTGTTCTCGGCATCATTCAAGGCACATCTACTTACCAGATGAGGTCAGTGAATCCTTTATGGTGGTGCATAGTAGAAGAGAAGCTATTCAGCATGGAAAGAATGCATTCCAGGTAGAGAAGCTGCAACTGCCGATTCTCACTGAAAAAAAAATGGAAGCACAAAGCATAGCAGGTTCATTTCTACAGAGATAATGAAGAAGCAAGCGCTGCATACTTTCCCATGAGCCAGGAAAAAGGAAGTCCTCTCCAAGGGCATGGCAAGAAAAAGTAGCTGTGTGCAACTGTGGGGGTCAAAACTACACCTAGAAAAAGCATTATGGGGGTCAAAGCTATACCTAGTGCTGTTGAATTTATGTTTCCTGACAAAGAAATAAAGGGGGACTAGTATAGATCTGTTTCAAGCTATTTAGTTCTCATCAGCTAACTATACCCTTCTGGGATTCTGGGAAGGGTATGGCTAGCTGATGAGAGCTAAATAGCTTGAAATAGATCTATACTAGGCTCCCTTTATTTCTTTGTCAGTAAATACAAATTCAACACAAAATAGTTTGTTGCGAAAGCAACTGCCTGCAAAGGCTCCTGGATTGGGGCTGAAAGGTGAAAGTGGAAGCAGTATGCTCCGTCCATAAGTGGGTAGGACAGGTTGCCCGAACTTAACAATTGCAGGGATTCATTTAACCACGGTGGCAAGAAAGCTCATAAAATGAAAAAAAAGTCCGCTTAACAAATGTCTCCCTTAGCAACAGAAATTTTGGGCTCAATCGTGGTAATAAATCAAGGACTGCTTCTGTATGCAGAAATATGACTAGGGTGCTGTAAGTTACTTCTGTGAACTGAATCATGTTCTGATCATAGGCAATTAGTTTATACATCATCACCTTATACTGTAGTTTTGGAAGGGTATTTGCGTTATTGCATATATCCTGTCCATTTACTGAAAGTTGGGTAATCTTACTATTATAGTCATATGTCTGGCTCAATATTTTTGTGTACAGAAGACTGCTTTTATGCATGACTGCTTTAAGGGCTGAGATATTTTTGTCAGGTTCCTATTATTATTATCAATATGCACCCTCCATATATCTGCCTAAATAAAAATATGCATAGCGATAGCATTTAGACTTTTATACTGCTTCACAGCTTTTCAGCACTCTCTAAGCTGTTTACAGAGTCAGTATACTGCCCCTAACAATTTCGGTCGTCATTTTACAGACCTTGGAAGGATGGAAGGCTGAGTCAACCTTGAGCTGGTGAGAATTGAACTGCCAAATTGCTGGCAGCTGGCAGTCAGCAGAAGTAGACTGCAGTACTGTATTCTAACCACTGCACCACCGTGGTATATGCATACAAGTAAAATGAAAAGGTTCCAGTTGCAATTAACATTTTATTCATCATTAAAAGGCAGCAATGGGAGACTACTTAGAGTTCCCATTTAATATGAAATGCTGTGACTGGAAAGTTTCAGTTTTATATCATTGCCCCATGTGATCACAAGCAGGGCCTTCACCATCCAGGCAACTTAGTACTCCAGGAGATAATCATTTAAGTATTTTGATCTAAGTCACTAGGGGTCTATACGCAAGTACCAAATTATGAAGCATATTAATCTTCTCTAATTTTTCTTCTGCTCAACAATTTCACTGTGCTCACAAATAACCCAGCAAGAGAAAACAGAAATAATAACAATATAGTTAGATACTATACCAAGTAGAAAATAATGAAACAACCCTCTACCTTACTGCCTTTGGTGAATTTCCCTACCTCATTTGTTTTTTAAAAAGATGATGCTATTGTTGGAGAAATGGAAATCTCTCTTCGCTTGATGCCTTGCTTCATCCATATGTCTCCGAGCACAAACACATTATGTTTTGAAGATTAATTTAAAATTTCTAAACTGCAAACTTGCAAATACATACCTTGTTTAGATATGGAGGCATAATAATGCATGCCTAAAGGGTTGTTAATATTTTAGGATACATTTCTCCATGCTTGTTTCTGATCTAGCTACTTGGGAAGCAGATAAATGTATGGTTGTCTTCTTCAAACACCCTGCCGAAGTATGCTATCCCAATGATATACTATCAGTAATGTAAAATAAGTATACTGTATTTAAGGAGACAGACACAGAGAGAGATTTCCTAAGAGATGGGCAATTAGAAGAAATGAAGCACTACAGGAGAAGAGCATAATGAATTATTCTACATGTACAGGCCTGAAGGAAAGCAGAGCTGGCTAGATTTAGGCTTTCTGTTTAAGATATGGGGCACGGACATTGCTTCCTACTCAAGATTGGTCCTTCTCAAGTGGGGAGAAAAGAAAGAGAGAAATATCCTCTCCCCAATTCCCTTCCGTGTTTTTTATTGGTACCCATAGCAAAGGAAAAATAAAAATGTTTCATTTCTGTTTATGCTTTGGAGTCCCACTTAAAATTTCAATGCTTTTTCTTTCCTTACTGTTCACTAGGATTTTTAATTTTTTCTCTATGTTTACTGGCGGATAATATCTTTTTCTCAAATTCTGCTACACATGCTGGTTGTTGAATGATTCTAGAGCCATGTTGGCGAACCTATGCCACGCCTGCTGGAAGTGGCATGCAGAGCCATTTCCCCCGGCACGCAAGAGGTTGCCTGGAAGAGCCCCACTGTGCATGCATGTGCGCTGCTGCCTGACAGCTGATTGTCGGGTATCTGATTCGCATGCGCAGGGGGAGGAGGAGGATGCGTGGGAGACATGTGCGCATGTGCAGGGACGCGCTGCGCACGAGGGGATTTTGTGCGCAAACGCAGATGTGCTGCGTGCGAGGGGGAAAAGCTTTTCTTTCCAGAAGCACTGTTGAAATAATTAAAAACATACCCGTCAATGCAATAAATTTCTCTAACAAATTGCATGCAATTAAACAGTAATTAGATATCACTTGCAAATAATTATAGTTATTTAGGTGCACAAGTAATTACAGTTCCTAAACTTATAGAAATTTATATACTATTACATAAATTATAATAATAATTACTGGGAACAATAATTGTCTGTTCCTCCAACTACATAATCTGTAGTTGTCCAATCCAATATTCAATTAATTTTCTACAATGAAACTCATGTACTACAATGTAGCACATCAAGAACTAATTTGCCAAAATGTGTTCTACCACACAAGGAAACTTGTTTACTGCTAAGCGCTTATAGAGAGCATTCTTAATGGTAACAATGCAAAAATGAGGGCTATCTTTTTAAATATTCAAAATACAATAGAAATTAACATCTCAAACAGGAAGTAGAGTAACAAAAGCAAAACTAATACTGTAAGAATCAGCCTGAAAGACTGCACTTGCCAGAGCAAATATCTGCCACTGAAAAAGTGCAGCATTTGTTTTTTTGTAATATGTTCTGCATTAGGCCCACATTTTCAAAATTATATAAAACTTGTTTTTCATAGTTTTACTGCTGATGGAATGTAGGTTTTTAGGTACAGAGAGTATGCTGGATACAGAAAGTGTATATGCCTCTGAATATTGTCAGGGTAATGTTATGCTTGTCAAATTAATCACTAGCTAGTACAAATTTAAACTTGATTCAATAGGTCAGAGAGGAAACCCAACCAAGAAAAGGAGTAGATTTTCTCCCTAACTCCATTTATATTTAGAAACACTTGCTTACCTGATGGCTGTCTGAAGTTTTTCACAAAGGACCATGAAGACAGAGACAACATCATCACAGAATGACTCAGTGGTGGAATCTCCAAAGTAAATAAAAGGCATGCATTAGCAGCTTCAGATATATACTACACCAAAATTAGGCACATGGAATATCTTCAACCTTGGCGACAGGACGCATCACACAGGGATTTGGATGACTGGGATATGATATTGCAAGAAAAACTAGAGCCATTCTGTCAAGAATCTTACCAGCTCACAAATCAAATAAGTGACTATTTGGAATGCATAATCTACTGCGTGTGAATTCTGCAAATTTCTCTGTAGAGCATATCACTTCTAGTGATCATGTTAGCATATCATACAGTTATAGAGACTATGGGAAGCAATTATGAGCTGACTCATAACAAATCTATTGGAATTTCAGATGTCAACACACATTTGACCTGTTTCAACCTATGCCAAACCTTTGAAAAAAAGATAAAACCAAGAGCTGAAATTTTCTTGGTATGCGTGAAGTAATTTCTACCATTGTTCAGTCATTAGGTACATGAAACTACTAGAAGCTATTCATATTCACTGCAGCCTTGTATGCTATAATTATGCTAGAATCTGACTCATGATTCCCAATCAGCTTCCCATCTCCCCTGACCAATGAAAATGGTAGTCTAAGCCACATGCATAAGATACCAGTTTAAAAAAACTGATGTAAAATAGGAATACATGCAAACTAAATATTGGAGCAGGGTCCCCAACTCTAGGGCTGCAGCCCACTTCCAGGGTGCAACCTTTTCTGAACCTGGCCATTCAAGCTGTATATATCAGAGGCAGGGAATGTCTTTGTTCATGTCCTTTCAAATGTTGTCCTCAAATTCCTTTGCCACTGACCGAGAAGTTGATGGGAATTGAAACAGCTCCAGAATACAGGTAATCCTCAGCTTAAGTCTGGTCATTTAACAACTGTTCGAAGTTACAAAGGCTTCAGAAAGGGAGCTTTGTGGCTCCTAAAGCACTTCTGCCTGACACCAAACTTTGTGCCACCCACCCACAGTCAAATGATCACAATCTGGGTGCTTGGCATCCTGTTCATACTTACAACCGGTTGCCAAGTACTTCACGATCCTGAACATCTGACCACTATTCCTGCATCCCATCAAATCTTTTCTGTCAATGGAGGGGAGCTGACATCCTCCCACAGGGAGCTGAAATGGAGCTTAAATCTTGATGATTAAAACTCGTATTTCTGTATCCTGCCAAAAGAGTTCTGTGTATCAAGGAGAACTGATATCCTTTGGCAGGCAGCTCTTTCAGCCTACCAAAGAATATCAGTCCCTGGAGATGAAATGGAGCTGAATTCCAAGCAGGATTTTCAGGTCCTGAGAAGAGAGGCAGAGCAATAAGAGCACTGAGTGCTTCAGGTACGTAGGGGAGGCCTGATACTGTCTCTTCCTCAGAGGCTGAAACTTCTCCTTGGATTTCAACAGGGAAGGTTTTTAGGTCTTGAGTGGAACCTCCCAGGGTCTCCCTCATCCTCCCAGAGGAACCCTGTACTCCTTACCTGGGAGGCCATCCATTTAATGATGACAATCGAGAGTGTTGGGATTGTTATCATTTAAGCAAAATAGTCACATGAACAGTCACCTGATGTTTTGCTTAACAACCGCTTCACTCAATGACTGAGATTCCAGTCCTGATTGAGGTCATTAAGCAAGGACTCCCTATATTAAGTTGACTACCTCCAGTCTTTTTTGTGAAAAAGGAAACAACACCATAATTTTGCATAAATATGAAAGCAATCAATAAATCATTTTGTCAAAATTAATTAACTGATACCTGAATTCTTGAAACCTTGAAGAACTCCTTGGCTTTCGGTCATCTATCAAAGAAGAATAGATGTATTATCAATAACACAGACAAAATAAAAGTGGCAATGATACTTGAGACAAAATCTCTTACTTTACACTTTGTAGAAATTTGCTCCTGAAGCAGAAAAAAGTCCATATTTGTCTAGCTCAGATAAAACCTGATCCAGAGGAAAATGTCAGAGCCAGTAAAAAATTACCTTGACTTTTTTTGGGATAGGCTTTAATATTTTTAAAAACCTATTTATAAATTCAGTTTTGGGAGCATTATACCAACTCTAATTTAAGCATAAGCAGCAAAGACCAGTCCCATTACAGATGCCTGAGTGACTCACTGTATTTTCTTGTTTTTGTCGTAATTGTAAAATCAAATCACTCAACATCTGGCTGAGGGTTGCCCGTACAGCTGTATTAATACTCCGTTGGTGATAACTGGAAATGTAAGTTTCAATACAAACCTATTTGGGGAAAAAGGAAAAGAGACAATACAGTAATAGCAATACAATTATACTGGTTAGAAGTTAATGTACAGGAGGTCCTCAACGTATAACCACAATTGAGCCCAAAATTTCTGTTGCTAAGTGAGACATTTGTTAAGTGAGCTTTGCCCTATTTTATTATCTTTCTTGCCACCGTTGTTAAGTGAATCACTGCAATGTTTAAGTCAGTTGTTAAGTGAAGCTGGTTTCCCCATTGACTTGGCTTGTCAGAGGGTTGCAAAAGCTGATCATACGACTCCGGGATATTGCAACCATCATAAATGTGAGTCAGCTATCAAGCATCCAAATGTAAATCACATGACCATGCCACAAAGGTCATAAGTCACTTTTTTCAGTGCCATGGTCACTTCAAATGGTCATTCAGCAAAATATTATAAGTCAAGGACTACCTATATTAGACGTGAATTACTATTCCAGATATCTATCAATATATATAAGCATCCCTCTCTCTCTTTATTTTATCTTATTATACAGCTGAGTATTAAAGTCTCATTTCATAATAATATATATAAAATAGAAAATTAATAGCAGTCACATTTTGGTATCTAGGTATTTTTTTTAAAAAAAAACTTTGATAGAAGCTGCTTGCTTAGAAGAGTTCAAGAGAGTGAGGAGGGAATAACTTCTCCCAAAGCAATTATGTGCATTAGAGATACATGACTGACATAAATCTAACATTGTGAATGAAAAAAATCCATAATCTAGCGCGAAGCACATTGTTTTATTAAACAGCTCAAGTTTCATTTCCAACTGACAGAGGATACTCACTTCAGCAATCTTAAGAACAGAACTTCCACTCAACTCAAATGTTGGAGTGTATGTTATGCAGAGCAACACCTAGAGTTAAACAAATACAACACAAAAGAATTTTAGATTGATGATTCCCTCAATTAAAATCATGTTAATGGTCAAAAGTAATAGTATCAATCTGGAAGCAAGTCTACAGCATATTTGTCTATTATCTGATTGCAAAATCATACAACACATAGAGGACCATAATGTTAAAAGCCAGAATAGAACCCCACAGTCTAGTGCAGTCCAACATAACACAACGCAATACAATAATAATACATAATAAAAATAATACAATCCAAATAAAGGCAACCCATCATTAAAAGATCTCTGAGTAGTTCAAGGATCTTGACATTAATTGTACCAGTCTTTTGTAAGACTTTTATATACTGGCTAGCAATTATGCAAACTGCTGTCTAGAAACTATCAGCATGAAAAAGTTTATAGTGCCAAGGATAAAATTATGAATATTTTAGGACCATCCTGATCCAACCTCTAATGGGGAAAGATCTACAGTGGCAACCAGGAATATCTTCTAAAATAGTATATCTACCACGCTATGAATTAAATTTACAGGGCGAAAACAGTTTTGTAACACTATAAATCAATGAAATGAGCTATAAAGGACAAATATGACAAATGCCTTGTTTTGCAAGGATACTGAATGACTGCAATGTAGAAAACTGAGAAAATTAAGAATACCTCTGCATGTAGCAAGTGAAAATGTAGATCCTATTCAAGCTTGCTCTTGGAAGGAGACCAATGTAATAGAAAAAAATCCTCTCCACCATAACAAAGGAATGAATTTCAGTAACATCCATTGGCACGATTTATGGTATTTACTACCACTTTTCTGAATGCAAAGTCTAACAATGTCTGAATATTAAATACTTTGGATGATATTGTCAATTTTTAATTGATGTAGCAAGTGTCAGTTAGCTGTGCATTTGGCATTTCATAAAGAATGTAAAAAAATGTGCTAAATCAAAATCTTTATACAAAAATGGTTATATATTGTTTATGTTTCAGAGTAATTTATAATTGCCCCGGTTAGAAACCTAAGTGTCACTGCAGGAATCGGTAGTGAAATCCTCAAGTCCCAGGACACAATCCAAGGGAACATATAATTAATTGTTATTCATTCATTCATATTATATGGCTACCATCTCACAAATGGTGATTCTGGGTAGTACACAATAAAAAAAACCTGTAACACGGCCATGTAAAAACAGACATCAATTAAAAATATTAACATTATGATTAAAAGGCAAGGAGAGAGCAACGAATATTAGCAACAATGGACCACTTCAATGACATTCTTCCCCTGGGCTCCCCAGGCCTCTTGATATAACCATGTTTTGAGGGACTTACAGAAAGTTAACAGGGATGGGGTTAATTTCTGCACAATGTAAAGGTGTATGATGGCATGATTGTTTAAATTGTCCTATTATTCCTGGAAGGTCAGTTAGTGACTTTGGGCAAGCTGCTGTCAATCTCTCTAACTTACCCCAAAGGCTATTCTATAAAAAGCTGAAGGAGAATGCTATGTACCGATGATTCCTGGAAGGAAGGTGGGGAATGAATCTAACAAGCAAAGACATAAATAAAACACACTGCTCATCTTTGTGCTTAAAACAACAACTAAACTAAGATTCAGTAAAACAGTGAAAACATGATCCTAATATTAGGCAGTAAATGACAAAATCTGAAGAAGGTAAATATTTCTTTTATCCATCCTGAATAAATGGAGAATTTATGTCCTTGAGTAAACAGAAAGATTTTGAGATAGGTCCTAAAACTCAAAGTGAAGCTGCCTCTTCATCCCCTTAAAAGAGACTGTTTTCCATTATCAATTATCAACATAAAATCCTACACTGCACAATTTAAATCTGATTATTTGAAATGACAAGATATCCATATAAGGTCATTGTATTATTGGGCTTCATGGAGAATAAAATAGATGCTTACACACTGGAAAGAGAATGGAAGTTACTGGAAGTAACTTTCCTTAAAATGTGGTCAGTTAAACCCTGTTTTGTTTTAATTAAACAATGTTAGATTCTTGTCTTGCACATGCCCAGAAGAAAGTTCCCTCCAGTACTGAATGGCCTTGATAACATTGTAGATTTTAATCACAGCTGGAGAGCTTTCTGACATAAGAGAAAAATATTGTTTTTGACTTCCAAGAAGATGAATATTACCCTGATGGGTTCTCAAAATCAATAAGATAAAAAAATTCTGATTTTATTAAATAGAAAACTATATTCCTACAACTCAATTTGGCAGTATTTTCAAGCACTTGTATGCTGGCAATCAGCATTTAATATAATTTGAACCTTTCAAAATAATTGCAGAATGTTAAAAAACCAGTTTTGTAAAACAGCAACACATTTCAGTTCAGAAAGTAACTTGCAGTCTCGCAAGAAATAGTTAAAGTCCTCAGATTAAAAGAGTAGGATTTGTATTCTTGTTATTTTCAAATAGCTGTCCTGGAATAAAGTATTCTGTATTTGCAAAGCTGCCAATCTTTCAATTTATTCAATCTGGAATCACAGTTATTTTTAGAAACTTTGGAGGGAGAGGAGATTAATAGCCTAACATTGGCCCAACTACAATTTTAAGAAATCTCTACCACATGAAAACCTGTTATAGGAGAACATATTGCTCAAAAGCATACCATCTGTATATGAAGTTTGAATACCCTTTGCAAAATTCATTGCACCAAATTCCTAATTCTTTTCCTCCTATTTACTGATTATCTGCTGCAGTGGCGAGTAGCTGATATGAATTCAGTACTGTTAAATGAAATAGTTAATTACAAAGTAACAGGCCTCATATTATCTAGCTACTCATCTACTCAGAATAAATATTTTTCTAGTGCCAGGAAGCTACCACAATTCACATTCAGTGGAACATGGATAAAATACTGTTGCAATAATGTGATGTAATAATGGTATATGAGAAAGACCCTGATAAAGGGAGCAAAGAGATACTGCACAGAAAATGGTCAGATAAGAGGGGACATAGCCCACAGCTGCATAATGGGCTCAGAAGAGATCCTCTCTAACTTCTCCGACAGTAAAGGAGACAACGGGAGATTTGTATCTGCACACCTGCCAGAGTGATGTTGGTTAACCTTCTCGGATAAACCAGACAGGAAACACGGCCAGATGAGATACTTTATTGTGTGGTTACATTAACAGAACCTTGCAAATCTGAAAATACATATCTTCCATTGTCTCCTTTACAGCTTAAGAAGTTAGGGAGGGTCCCTTCTGAACTTCTTTCTCTGCCCATTGTGCAGCTGTGTTTCTTCTTATCTGACCATTCCCTAGGCAGCATCTCTTTGCCCTATTTCATAACCAACAGATATAAAAATATATACCAAGAATGGGTAAGAACTGGGTCTTTCTCTATCCCTCTCTCCCTCCCTCCCTAGTTCTGATTACAGTTGATATTGTAATTGTAGTCTCCCAGCATTCTGATTTTGCTCTGACTTGCATTTATGGGATGGACTATTCCACATTATTTAGAAGCTTCTCCCACTGTTTACAAATACTATTTGTAATCCTATGTACACTGAATGCAACAAACCACTTTCATCGGCTGGATGGATATTCTGGATGGAATGGAGAGTAATTTTAATTTTCTGACATAATTACATATGGTATTCCCAAGGATCTCTAAACTGATATCTTTACAGATAATAAGCATTGACTAAGGTCTTAAAAAAGGCAATATGATTTAACAATAGAATTGTTAAAATTAAATTCAGTCCTCTGATTGAAGCACATCTGTGCCACCTACTAAAAAAAAGCAAAATAAACTGGGAAATATATATACATACGTAAATACGTAAGAGTTAAATACTCCTTCAGTGTACACAGCATGATATGTTTAATTATGAAGAGGATGAACACAAGAGCTTTCTATTGCGCACTGGAGCTGTGAAATAGTTTTTCCAGTGATTAGAAACAATTACTCAGAGTGATGGATGCTTAAACATTTAGACAAACTCTTATACAGGCATGGAATAACTGTAAAGCATGTGATCTATTGGATGTTCCCTAAAGAAGGAATACATTAATCCACTGGGCTAAGACAGATATCAGCCTAAAGCAAGAAAAATGTCTGCTTAGGAACAGCAGAAAGAAGATAATGTTCATCCCGCGGTGGCGCAGTGGTTAGAATGCAGTACTGCAGGCCACTTCTGGCAGCGGCATGTAATTTGGCAGATTGAATCTCACCAGGCTCAAGGTTAATTCAGCCTTCCATCCTTCCTGAGATGGGTAAAAATGAGGACCCAGATTACTGGGGGCAATATGCTGACTCTGTAAACCGCTTAGAGAGGGCTGTAAAAGTACTGAGAAGCAGTATATACGTCTAAATACTATTGCTATTGTTATCCCTGGCTCTGGGTATAAAATTCCTTATTCAATGTTAGGATTATGCAATATTTTAAAAGCTGGGGGAAGAGAAGAAAAATGTAGCATGTTGACTTTATTGTCATTTGTAGATATGAAATGCCTGTGGCTGAGACAAAACAAAACAAAAAGGTATTCAAAGCATGATATTCTGTTTTTTTCTAAAATTGAAGTGAGGTGTCTTGTTCTTTACCCAGGCTTCTTCAAATGACTACAGGAAACAGAAATCATCTCCTACTCCAACCCCAAACCATGAATTTGTCAACAGCCATAGATGAAAACAAGAGGGCTTAGTTTTGTGAGGGTTTTTTTTAAGAAAAAAGAACCCCATAAGGTTGCCTTGGATGGGATCAGGTTTCTTCAATTTCCCCATGCAAAAGCAGAAGATCAACTGGAACTGATACCTAATGGACCCTGCAGTTTATTCGTAAGAAGTCACAATGTTCTCGAGACATTTGGAGTGAGTTAGTTCAAAATTAGTGGCAAAAAATTTCTTATGGGGAACTTGCCATGATATAGAACTGTGTTTAAGAAATGTCACTGGTTCCCAAGGGCTACAAAAATTGTACTCCTGGCTTTTACCTAGTCAGACCCTGATAAATACCTTTGAAACAGGGTTTG